TGGAAGCGTCGATGAAGGTAAGCGTGTACTGCTCCCCGTCAAGCCCTTGTTGACTGAGTACCATGAAGTCGCTGTAGACCTTATCCAGCGGTTTGTAGCGCTCGTACCCTGGTGGTAAGTCTGGGAATGGTTGGTGGTTGAGGGATGCAGTCGGGCAGACGATGCACGGCGGATTGGGAGAGTCCGCGGTGAGGGAACCGTCTCGGGGGAGGAGAAGTGCGTCGTCATCGAAGACTCCAGCCTTGAGCGAGTTTTTGAGCGTGGCGTGAGAGGGATGTCCAAGCCGTTGGTGCCATGTTGCTGGGTCCGCACGGTAGCCGACTGTCTTCTGATAATATTTTTGCCGTGCTGCCTCGTCGTTTGCCTCCCCTTCAGGTCCTGTGTCAGCGGCGTTGTCCGTTTCGGCGGCGAGTGCGCGAATTGCTTTTCTCTCCAGAAGCGTGTGGGGAATACCGATGATGTCGTCGGTATCGCCAGCTTCGGCTTGGTCTCCGGTGACAAGTAGGCATCGATCGGGCCAGTCCCGAGCGGGGAGTCCCGACATGGGGATCCTGTAGTAACTGTATTCAGCACCAATGACTTCAATTTCTTGGGGTCCTTGTACCGGCGGCTCTGGCTCCTCGGTAGGTTCAGGTAATTCCGCTGGTCCCCCCATGAATTCGTAGGTCTCTTCTTCCTCTGACTCTTCTGGCATTGGTTCGGGTGTGTCAGGGGCGTACTGATCCGGAAGAGGAGGACCTCCCCAGCAGGTGCCGCGAGTTGCCCAGTACGGGTCGACGATGGCGACTTCCGCGGGAGGAAGGCCGGCTGCTACGGCGTGCCCTTGTTCCGCTTCGCCCGAAGTGCCCCAGCCTCCTCCGGCGCCCCACGTGTCTCCGATCGTCCTTGCTTCTCCGACTGCTGCGTCTTTGACTTCTGCGCCAACTTCCCCAGATGGGGCAGGAGGAGTCCAGCCAGTGCCACCTTCCTCGGCTGGGGTAGGGGGAGTTCCCCGGCCAGTTGCAGCAATTTCTTTCGTTGCGACGGCACCCCATCCGCTTGTGGCCGCTTCCTCTGGAGTCAGGACTTCGCCCCAAGATCCAAGTGCGGGTCCGGAAGTATCCCAGCCTGTCCAGCGCGTTTCCGCCGGCGTGTTTTCCTCGGCAGGTTGTGTTGCAGGGCCTGACGTGCCACTGTCTTCCTCCATTGTGGCAGGTCCGGTCTCAGCAGGATTCGAGGTCGAGGCGGTCGGGACAGTGCGCAAGCGCAGAAGGCCGTCAGAGGCGGGTCGCTCGAGGTCCATCTCGTCGGGATGTGACCACGTTGGCGCCTCCGTGGGAGTCGTTTTTAGGAGCAGCGTGCGGTGGGAATCGCCGGTTGTGCCCTGAGCCGAGAACTGCAGCACGAAGACTCCGTCGTCGTCGATCGCCTTTCCGATGTAAGAGTCATCATAAAAGAGCTCGAAGGTCTTCTCTTTGCGGTTGCTGCGAATGTCGATTCCGCATCGCATGAGTTGAGCTGACGAGAGCAGGTTGTATTGGAGATCTGGCGCGACGAGGACGTCTCCGATGTGAATGGTAAATTTCGTGTCATTCGCCTCGAGGTAGATCTCCCCAATCTCATGTGCCTTCATTTTTCCGTTGTTGGCTGCGGTGATTTCGCAGGGTCGTCGCATGCGCCGAGAGTTGCTGATGAACTTTGATGATCCCACCATGTGTTGCCCGCAGCAACTGTCGAGGTACCAGGTGTCCAGATCCTCGTGGCGCTGGCGGGCAAGGTTGGCGATCTTGGGCGTAATGATGCGATCGAAGTCGCCAGTGTTCGGCGAGAGAGCGAAATATCTACTTGCGGGAATGCTCGGCGGCGATTCCGGAGTAGGAGGAGGAAGCTCGAAGTCAGGAGGGATGTCTGAAGGGCGAGTCGACCAGGTAGAAACCGTTGGGTCGTTATCTGAGCTGGGCGCAACGGGGGTGGGGTTGTCGGAAGGGAATGAAATTCGATCCCGATCCCAGTAGCGGAACCCTCTGCTGCGGCGAGCCATGCAGCTTATGACCGTCCCTTTCCCTTTGTCCTTTGCCGAAATGACCGCAGGGGACTGAGAAGTACTGGCGACCGAGGGAGGCGACACAGTGGAGGTTGTGGCAGAAGGCTTGGATTGAGCTGAGGGTTGCTGGTTGGAGGCGTTGCGCCGTTCATCAGCAGCCTGACGCTTGTAGCACTGGTCGATGGAGTGGCCAGACTTCTTGCAGTATTTGCAGAAAGCTCCCTTCTTTCCGCGTTGCTCCCCTTGGGATCCTCCTGTGTAGAAGGCTAATTTTTCCCGCTTGACATTCTTCTCGTTGTACAGGTCGATCTCCTTCTGCTCCGAAAGAAGCGTGGCGCACAGAGCCGACTCCGATATGGTTGCTCGGGCGCGAAGGAGTGACTGGCACTGACGCCAGTCGGGGCCAAGGCCTGAAATGACCATTGAGATGAACATGTCGTCGGGGACAGAACCACCGCACTTCTTGACTTGATCGCGCAGATTGCGGCACCGATTGATTAACATACGGTCCTGCTTTATCCCCTTGCTTCATTTTAACCGAAGTTAGTTGACTGAGCAGGCGACTCATAGTAACTGGATCTGTTGCCATGTATGAGTTGCGCAGGTGTTCCCAGGATGCGTGCGCGGGAGCCCACTCCGTCTTGTACGGACGAATGCCGAGCTGCTCTTCAGGTGAGAGATTGCGAAGGAGAGCGGTGTACGCGAGAAGTGATTCGTGGTAGTACTGATGCTTCTCCTGGATGGTGCCTTCCGAGGGAAAAGGCAGACTTCCGTCGTAGTACATCCAGATCTGAGCGGTTGTCGCAAGAAGCTCGAATTCGAAACTCCACGTGTAAAAATCCTTTCCGTCGAAAGGAATTGAGGTCTTCAATTTTGAAGTCAGTACAAATTTGGTTTGCATTGAAGCGATGTCTGACTGCGACCGTTGTGGGTTGTCTTGTGCAGGAGCTGACCCTTGACGATTGTCAAAGGTGAAGGATCTCTCGGAGTTGACGCGGCGGTCTTCTCCAGGGAGAGGAAGTCCAGCAACGCCACGTGCATAGCTTGAGCCATCAATGCTCATAGCCTGATGGCTTTCGAGAGCGTTGATGCGTGCAACTAGCTGCTCAACGACAGCGGCGCTGACGGAGGTCACCGCTGATGGCGCGTTAGTAGTTGCTGGTGGTGGGCCCGGTGAGTCTGCAGTAGCTTTCCCTTCAGGAGCCATAGTGTTGCAGACCTTAAGATGTGATAATTGATTTTATGAAAGGATTGTTCTAGGAAGAACGAGGGCTTGACAGATCCTATAATCCACTCTAGCTCTCATACCATGCTGATACAACCAAAGGATCAGTGGATAGGATAGAATGTGTTAAGCCTGAAAGGAGACAGTGAAGTCTCTGTAGTGACCTTGTTGAGTAATAGTTGAAAGAGAACAAGATGATTAGAAGGTAGGAGTACAAGAGATTAAATAGCAAACTATCTAGCCATGTACTCTGAGGGGTACATTCCCTTATTAACTGTATTACATAGCTACAGTAACCACGACTATTGCTATTCTCGACAGTTACCGTGTTGCAGTCTGTTAACTGTCGCGTGGTTGCTGGATCGTCAAGGGTCACGACCGTTGACTATCTTTAGACGGTTGACCTTCGGGTGACCCTCGAGATTCCGCGTGCTCTATATGAGCTAATGCGGTACTAGTACAGAGGAGCATCTTCGGGAATGCCTTTATAACCTTTCGGTTATTCCAACAATCCTAATCTGTGTTCCACAAGCTACTGTATTGTAATGTGAAGGGAATTTTTTTGTATTTTTTCTCTGGAGGTGTGCAAAACATCGCACGGTTAAATTTCCAAAGCATTAAGCGGGTGCCATAGGAATACCACCAAGCAAATACATGAACCAAAAATGGTGCATTCAAATTAACTTATCAACATTGTTCACGTACAAGACTATATGTAGACTAGCTGATATACTGAAACGGTGTTGTGAAACAACGAAATATCTTGATCTGCACGTGATGCTTTGCTTTCCTGTTGGCTGTTCCTTCGTCACAGGGACAGTTGTCGGTTCCCGCTGAATTTCCGGTGTGTGCCAGTTCCAAACCAAGATGGCGGGAACTGACGCTACAAAGATTCCGGCTTTCCTGGCAGAATTTATGTAGGGAGTGAGCTGCCAAAGATCAACTTCAACAAATAGGGTGCCATTGCATTCTGACATTCACGAGTCTCTCTGCGCACCACATGTGCCATCCTGTCAGTTCCCTCGCAGTTCCCTCCCACTTCTCACGCATGGGTATATGGCATTCAAATGTTGGCGGGAAATGGATACCAGGTCTTCCGGGCAGTACAAAGAACAGAGACCGCACGGATTTTGTTTCAGCCCCTCCTTGACGTGGCAAAAAAGCGCTTTCCTTTTTCCAACCACCCCTCTCCTGGTTGTGATGCAGCCAATAGGGAGTCTGCCCTCCTGTCCATGAGTTTTTTTCCACGTCGAAGCTTCTTTCCCCCAAAACCGAGCGGGGTGCGGCAACCCCTTGAGACCCGTCCCGCCTACACATCCCAATGTGACTGGCTAAGCCCAGAGGTGCGGGTACACGTGCCAACCATTGATTGTCTCTTCGTCTGAACATACCCCCGCTTACCACATTCTCTGGTTCGGCTTAACGGAAGTCAGTGGCTCGGGGAACCAAAGCGACGGACTTCATAGTCCGTCGACACCCATAATACAGACCACCGCCTGAAACGAAGACGGTTGTGCTTTGCAGTTGCGTTGCTAGAAACCGTTCCTCAAGTCCGTCAAGTCCAGCAAAGCATCTGTCGGCGGAGTCAGCTGAAGGCCTGTCCTTGCTTGTCCAACCAACTGACAGACAGAGGCCCAGAAACCATTTCCTGTCAGAATTCTGCTTCTCTCTTCATTTCTGACACAGAAACCACATTCCTAAACTGATCAGATCCCAAGGTTTTGAAAGTTTGAAACCTAAGAGGTTTCTGCCATGGCTCATCAAGGTGGCTCTTTGACAGCGGATTCGCTATCTCCCGCGGAGCCTTGCTCAGTAAAGCAGCTACAGCACTGCGACGAAGTTATTGCAGAGGACGCTGAGCACTGCCACATCTCACTTGTAAGTTATTGTTTCGCTCATATTCGTGTCGTGGTGTGGGAGCCAAGCTCGAAAATTTTATGAAACGAATCCACACACAATCCTAAATCAATCACGAACTGTCTTCGCTTATGAAATGTCCGTTCCTTTTCTCACTTTCGCTGAGCAGGATGATTTCCAGAATGAAGCGGAAGGTGATTTCATGGACATTTTGTGCTTGGATGAGAGCATGCTGCAGCTTGAGGATGACATTTTGGCTATCGCCGACGATGACATCGCTGGTCCCATCAATCAACTAAACCTCCAGGCGCCTGCGACTGTGGATATCCGGCCACTGAACGAAGTTCCCACTCCTCTTCCTCCTTGGGATTCCGAGGTCAGTATCTCATCAATAACTGCCCATCGAAAACCGCTCAAATATTTCGTTTCAATGGTCTGATTTGGTCGATGTGACATGCAACTGAGTAAATTCTGTATTGTTATGTGCCGCAGGGATCTTCATTGTCTGAGGCTGGAGCCGCGCCAGTCGTCGCTGAGAGGATCCAAGAGGTCAACACGTCCTCACCCGAGACCCCCTGCGTCAAACCGTCATGGCCATTGCTATCTCCGCCACACCACAAGCGGTTTCATTCTTCCACCGGATCTCACCGGGAAGGCAGTCCCGTTTCAGTTCTTACCGTGCGGTTGTCTCCCGGCCGACCATTCGAAGGACTTGGCGAGCCAGCTCTCGTCGAGTACGAAACTCCGAATTTGTCCTTGAGGAATGCCGATCTTAATCCGGCAGATTCGTGTGCTCTCTCCTCCAGATCCCGCAGCAAGCGAATGAGGATTATGAAGCGGGTCTGGTCGACGGATGTAATTTCACATGTGGTTCCGGAAGACGCTGGGGTTGGCAGCAGCGACGAGTTCGACGATTGTTATGAAGGGCCTACGGGAGAGATTGAAGACTCACGAATTGGTGGATTTTCTGAGGATAGAAATTTCTGCACAACTCCGTCGCTTGGTCCGCTCAACTCCGTTCCTCCCGCGCTTGAACCTCAACCCAGGGGCTTAATCGGTGGTCCTGATCCTGCGACCTCGGACATTAGCTCACTTACCCTCAGCGGAACTGATTTGCCTCGATCAGCTTCGACGAACCAAGTGGACTCTGTAGCCAAGCAGCCGTCCAAGAAGCGTAAGCCTCAAGGGAGTCCCGATGGGAAGGACAAGGATGGCAACATTCGCCGATGCACCCATTGCTCGTCAACGACCACTCCTCAGTGGCGAGCGGGCCCTATGGGTCCCAAGACACTCTGCAACGCCTGTGGAGTGAGGTACAAGTCCGGAAGGTTGTGTCCGGAGTATAGGCCAGCGAGCAGCCCGGAATTCCAGCCGGAGAAGCATTCCAATTCTCACCGGAAGATCGTGGAGATGCGGAAGCAGCAAGAGGCAGGAGTGGTCGACGGAGGAGCTCCGTCAAACGTTAACCTGGAAGTCGTTGTCGCACCGCCGACTCCGTCACGGGCTCCTAAGAAGCAGATGCAAGACGGAAACACATGTAACGGTAAGAAGCCTAAGAGGGAGAAGACTGAGGAGGAGAAGGAGAGAGCTCGTATCCGACGGCGGTTACGGAAGCAGCAGCAGAAGCTCGTCCTTCAGCAGCAACAGCAGCAACAGCAGCAGCAGCAGCAGCAGCAGGAAGTCGTGCAGGCCGGGACTTTCTACGGTGGTTATCCAGTTCAAATGGGTGTAGGCTCCGCGCTTGTCAGTACTCCCAGTATCGGGTGCGTGGATACGGGATCACTCGTAGTCGATCCTCTGGTAGCTGATGGTATGGTTGTCCCCAGCGTTCCCAGGGTGCACAGCAGCCTTTCACCCGTTCCTTACGCCGCGCCTCCACCTATGCTTCAGACGCCTGCAGCTGCGCCTCATACGACAGCACCTGCATCCTATGGAGCTATCGGCTACTGCCAGCCCTCCGTCGTCCCCTCTCCTGTATCCCACGTCACAGAATCCGGACCTGAAGGTTGCTGGAACCCCAGCCAATCGCAAGAGTCCGCTGGGGTTTTGTGTGAGGATGAGGTGGTGGATTGGCAGGGGATGGAACATGAGGAGGATGAGGACGCCGAAGGATACACCTCGTTCCTGGCTCTGGACTGCCAGCCCCTGGCAACTCCCGTCCTCCCCATGCTGGACTCAGCAGTGCCTCCTTCCTTCGCTGCTACATCTTCGTTTGCCATGTGCAATGCGAATAACGCTGGGGCAGGACCTGGTTGTATGAGCGCCCGGGAAGATCTGAAGAGTTATTGAGGGGCTTGACGGGACCTGCCTAGCTTTTCCGTTTTAGTGATTTTGTTTGGTTTGAGATTTGTGATTGTTTGGGGTGTCGGAGTTCATTTACACTGCAGGGGTGACTGAAGTGGAAGAGACTTGTTTGTGCGCTCCTCTACAAGACGCCTCTTTAAAGAGGGGTGGTCATAACTGCAAGAGGTTGCGCAAAAGTGTGTTGCCTCGGCAGCTGCCTTAACCCTCCTATATGGCAGCACAATAGTGCTGCCTCCTACAAGTCTGTTGGTTTTGGGGTGAATACAAGTTTGTCCCTCTTCAGGCTTCTATTGTGGCTTAGTCACCTGATTTGCAAGGTTTTGTGTGCCTAACATTAGCGTACATCTATTTTCAGGTGCTTTGGCCTCAGAAGGAGATTGCAACGCTTGCAAGCTCTTCACTAAGTTGTCAGCAGGACAATAATTGCAAGCCTTTTCACACAATTATTCTTAAGTGGCGGCTGTCTAATCAGGTATTCATCAGAGAAGCAGGCATCTCTGAAGCCAACTCAGATCACATCCAACATATCTTCCTACAAAAAGCATGTGCTCCATGCTTTGAACCCACTCACTACACCATGTCTCCCGCACTGTATGTCGGCTCGACTCCAGGAGTGACTAAGCGCACGCCACTCGTAGAGCGGGAGGAGGTGGAGGACCCAGATGAGCCCAGGCCAGTGTAGGCAGCAACTGCACTTCCCTGGCTAGTAGTCCCTCCTCCCCCAACCACAACTGGATTAGGCTGCACTGCTGGTCTGTACAGCCTCTCCCTCCTCCCGTTCCCAGTCCCTCTTCCACTCGCTGCTGCACCACCCCAGCCGTGAGGAAGCAGCGCATCCACATCACTCTTTACCCCACCTATTCCGTTCCCTAACGGCCACCACACCCACTGGGAGCTCTGTGTCTTCTTCTTTTTAGGAGGGGCAGGGGAAGAGGAAGTGAGCGGGTTTGCAGTGGAGGTCGCGGGGAGTGTTGCTGCTGGTGCCGATGGCAGCGCCTGTGCTGCTGGTGCGGATGGCAGCGCCTGTGCTGCTGGTTCCCCTGTTGGTGGTGTTGCTGAGGGTGGTGCGGATGGTGGTGGCACAGTTGCTGATGCTGGTGGTGAGGACGAGTTCTCCTCACTTCCTGCTGCCTTTGCAGCTGGAGCTGGCGCTGATCTTGGTGCTAGTGATGCTGCTGCTGGTGGTGTTGATGCTGGCGCTGTTGCAGTCCTTGCAGCCTCTTTCACATCAGATGCTGGCGCCCCAGCATCCTCCCCATTCGATGGTGTTATTGCCCCAGTGCCATCAGATGCTGGGGCCCCAGCACCCTCCCCTGCCTCCTTCGACCCACTGTCGGTGCCATCACCGATTCCCATTCCAGCACTGCTCCCCTCACCTCCTCCACCTCCATCCCCACCATCTCCAACAGAAGGCGCACTCGCATTGCTCCCTTCGCCACCAGTATTGCTGCTCTCCTCTCCAGGAGCTTCTGTGCCTGAGCTGTCAGATTGCGACTCTGAGCTGTCAGATTGTGACTCTGAGCTGTCAGATAGTGACTCTGAGCTGTCAGCGGTGGTGCCCGAGTTGTCAGAACTGGCGCCTGAGTTGTCAGAACTGGTGTCTATGTTGTTAGATTTATCCAGGCTGTCATAGCTATCGCCTAATTTGTCAGTCTCTGAGTCCGAGCTGGCAGAACTGGTGTCTGAGCTGGCAGAATTGGTGTCTGAGGTGGCAGAATTGGTGCCTGAGGTGGCAGAATTGGTGCCTGAGGTGGCAGAATTGGTGTCTGAGCTGGCAGAACCGGTGTCTGAGTTGGCAAAACTGGGGTCTGAGCTGCCATCAGCTCCTCCTGCGCCATCGCTCTCCCCACCCGCCTCTGCTGCATCCCCCTTGCGCGCATCTCCCTCAGTTGCACCCTCCTCCCCTCCCGTAGACACACCCTCCTTCCCCCCAGCAGTTGCACCCTCCCCCCCAGAGTTCGTTCCATCCTCTCCATTAGAGTCGGTCCCACTACTCCCGGTGTGGGATGCCCCTCCATTATCTGTCACCTTCTCCTCACTGCTCGTGGGCGGATCCGCTCCTTCTGCGCCCTTCCCCACCTCACTGCTTGTGCTGTTTTCTGCCTCCACTCTGTCCTTCGCCCCTCCATCGTCTGCCAGCTTCTCCTCATCACTCCCTGTGGGCGGGTCCGCTCCTCCTCCGCTGTTCCCAGCGGGGGTCTCACTGCTCCCGGCGGGGGATGCCCCTCCATCATCTGTCACCTTCTCCTCATCACTCCCTGTGGGCGGGTCTGCTCCTCCTCCGCTCGTCACCTCCCCACTGCCCGTGGTGCTCTTTGCTTGCTCTTCTTCCTTCACCTGTTTACCACTCCCTTCCTCTGCCATGTTCTTTTCTGTCTCATCCGTCCCTTGTCCCCTTGCCCATCCTGTGACGCCTCCTCTCCTCCCGCAGTCCCTCCCTCACCACCCCCCTTTTCCCCCTCCTGTTCCTTCTCCCCCTCTCCCGAGCCCTCCTGGCCTGCATCACCCCCCTCCGTCTCCCCACCCGCGTCCATGGTCTCATTCTTTCCACCCGTCCCCTTCACCCCCGCCTCCTCCGAACCAGCATCCTCTGTGCTCCCTGCTGCATCCCAAGAACCACCCTGCCAAGAAGCATCGTTATCTGACGAATCCGCATTGGCTGAATCCGAGGAGGAACTTGAAGAGGAATCGGATGAGGAATCAGAAGAGGAATCAGAAGAGGAATCAGAAGAGGAATCAGAAGAGGAATCAGAAGAGGAATCAGAAGAGGAATCAGAAGAGGAGTCAGAAGAGGAATCAGAAGAGGAATCAGACGAGGAATCAGAAGAGGAATCAGAGGAGGAGATTGAAGAGGAATTCAGAGAGGAGCTGGTCCCGTTAGACAAGTCTCCCACCCCTCCTATCACTGGCACGTTCCCTCCCCCACCTTTCGCCATCTTTCCTTCCCTCCCTTCTTCTTCCCCTTCTTTGGCATCCCCACCTTGCTGACGGCGTCCCACCATACGCTCCCTTCTCCTCCCCCACTTCCCCTGCCTCCTTTCTTCCTGCCGTGCTTCTTTGCTGCTGCACCAATGTTGCTGCTGCTGCTGCTGCTGCTGCTCTGGGTTGATTGGGGACCACTAACATCACCGCTGCTGCTGCCGCCGCCGCTACTACTACTGTCACTGCTACCAGTCTTCTCTGCCTCACTCTCACCGCCTCCAGGCTCGGTAGTGCCACCACTGCTGCTGCTATCATCGCCACCATTGTTGCTGCAGCTGCTGCTGCTGCTGCTGCTGCTGCTGCTGCTGCTGCTGCTGCTGCTGCTGCTGCTGTCTCCATTTCCTCTTGACCCACTATCACCACTGCCATTATTATCACTCTCACTGCCGTCACTGCTCTTACTGTTACTGCCGCTGCCGCTGCCGCTGGTGCTGCTATCACCTCCGTTACTGTCACTGCTGCTACTGCCACCGCTGCTACTATCACTTCCGGTACTGTCACCACTGTTCTTATCACTGGATCCGCCCAAAGGAGGAGTCCCCTCAGCACCCCCTCGTTCCTTGTACCCCAGGTGCTGCCCCTGCCGCTCCTTCTCCCACCTCTCCCTCTCCTGCCTCTCCTTGTGCCCCACAAACCCCCCACCACTGCCACTGGCCCCGCCACTCCCCCCACCACTGCCCCCGCTGCTGCTGCTCCCCTCGCCCTCCCCCCCTCCTGCCTCCCCACCAGCATCGCCACCGGAATCGCTCCCATCATCCCCGCCTGCCCCCCCAGAATCCCATCAGTCTCCGAAGGGGAGGAGCTCGAAGAATCACCGCTGCTGCTGGTGGAATCGTCACTGCTGCTGCTGCTGCTGCTGCTACTGCTGCCACTGGGAGCAGGGTTAGGGCTCTTGCGCTTCCCCCTAGAGGCCCTATCATCTGGCATCGGGCCGACCTTGTTCGACCCTATCCCCCCGTGCTGGTCCCTCCCTTTCATCCCCTTGGTGCCCCCACTGCTGCTCTCGCCGCTGCTTCCCCCCTCCTCCTCCTCTCCACCACTCTTGCTTCCACTGCTGCCGCTGTCACTGCTGCTGCTGCTGCTGCTGCTAGTGGCACTCCCACTGCTCGTCCCAGCCTTTTGCACCCCACTCGCACTCTTCCCCCCCCTGCTGCCCTTACTCCCACTGCTCCCTCCGCCCGCCAGCGTGTTCCCTCCCCCAGCACCTCGCCACGGGTCATCCGGCATGCCTCTGCCTCTCCAGCTGCCCCCTCCAATCCCATAGTTCCCATTGCTCCCCGCACTGCTGTACCCACCTGTCTTGCTGCCACTGCTGCCACTGCTGCTGCTGCGGTAGCCCCCACCTTCTATTAGCCTGTTGCCGCCACCCCCATCCAGCAACACGTTTCCATCACTGCTACCTCCGTTGCCACCACCACCACTGCTGCTCCCACCGCTGCTACGGCCACTGCTGCTGCTGCTGCTGCTGCTGCGGCTGGTTTCCCCAACGCTCAAGCCCCCCCCTCCGGTGCTGCTACCCTTGCTTGTACCTCGATTGCTTGAGCCAGTATCATCACTGCTGCTGCCACTCGCAGTGCCATCACCACCCCTGCTTCCTCCCCTTCCTCCTCCTCCTCCGCCTCCCTCCCTTCTCAGCCGAAGCTAGCGGATCATAGGGGTCTATTTCTGGTGCTGAGTCCCCTGAGGAGCCTTCCTCGGAAGATTCACCAGAGGAATCTCCTAAAAAGCCACCTGAAGATCCAGAAGGAGTCTCACGCGAGGAGTAATCAGGCCTTCTGCTTCCGTCGTACCTGCCTGTGCCACCACCACCACTGCCACCACCACCACTGCCACCACCACCACTGCCACCACCACCACTGCCACCACCACCACTGCCACCACCACCAGTCGCACCAGCAACCTCCTCGGGACTCCTAATGCCGCCAGTGCTGCCGGTACCACTCCTGCTGGTTCGACTTCCCAAGGATACTCCATCCCATACATTCCCGTTGCTACCACCATTTGTTCCGCCTTGCCTGCTGCTGCCGCCACCACTGCCATAACCACTGTTGCCTACATTTCCACCATTACCACCGCCATTCCCACCACCACCATTCCCAACAGAACCTGATGAGCCTAGAGGGTCGTACGGATCTATTCCCGACTCATCAGACCCCCCACCTCCCTCTCCCCCGCCTGCTCCTCCATCCGCGTTATAATCACCCCCGCTGCTGGTGTCGTCACTGGTATCGTCACTGGTGTCATCCGCGGTGTAGTCCGCTGGGGGGTTTCACCCCAGTCTCCTCCCCACCTCCTCCCCCTCCTCCTCCCTCCTCCTCCCCCTCCTCCTCCCCCTCCTCCTCCCCCTCCTCCTCCCCTCCTCCTCCTCCCCCCTCCTCCCCCCCTCCTCCCCCTCCTCCTCCTGCTCCTCCTGCTCCTCCTCCCCCCCCTCCTCCTCCGCGTCCTCCTCCTCCCCCTCCTCCTCCTCCTCCTCCTCCTCCTGCTCCTCCTGCACCATCATCTCCCCCACTGCCTGTCTCCTCCTCACCACCTCCGCCCCCACTCGTATTCTCCTCTCCCCCCCCATTGTCATCACCGTTACTATCACCACCACTACCACCACCACCATCACCACCACTACCACCATCACCACCAACACCACCATCACCACCACTACCACCATCACCACCACTACCACCATCACCACCACTACCACCATCACCACTGCTGTTTTCGGAACTGCCATCACTCCCTTGGTCCCCTGCCTCTTCGCCTCCACCATCCGCCCCTCCCCCCTCCTCTCCTCCCTCCTCACCATCCACACTGTTGCCCCCCCCTTGCTCTCCTCCTGCTGATCCTGACCCATTATCAGAACCACCAGCAGCACCACCACCACCAGCAGCACCATCACCATCACCACCACCAGCAGCACCATCACCATCACCACCACCATCACCACCACCACCACCACCACCACCATCACCACCACCACCACCACCACCACCACCAGCACTGGTGCTACCATCGTCCTTTCCTCCATCACTCGACCCACCTGTACCACTGTGCTCTAGGGAGGAGCCACTGTCATTCCCACCGCCACTGGGGGTGCTAGCGCCACCATCATCACCCCCACCACTGGGGGTGTTAGCGCCACTTGACTCGCCTCCGCTGCTGCTCTGCCCCCCCCCTTCCTCCCCTCCTCCCTCACTCCCTCCGCCACTCCCTCCCTCACTCCCTCCGCCACTCCCTTCAGCTACCTTAGCCCCTTCTCCATCCACCTGGGTTGGCTTGGCCACCCCTCCGCCTCGCTTCCTCCTCGCCTCCCTCCACTTCTGCCGCAGTGCCTCCCTCTTGCTCTTCGTCTCCCTCACTCTCTTCAGTGTCTCCTCCCTCCTCTTCTTCTCCTCCGCCTGCTTGCTCAATGCTTCACCCTCCCCCCCCCCAACCTCTTTTCCGTCACCCTGTCTGCTCTCACCACTCTCGCCCCCATTCTCTTTTTCCCCATCATTTCCACCCTCTCCTCCTCCACTCTCTCCTCCTCCACTCTCTCCACCCTCTCCTCCATTCTCCCCACTCTCTTCCCCTTTACTCTCCCCACTCTCTCCCCCATTCCTCTCCCCAATCTCTCCCCCATCCCCTCCCCCTTCGTTACCCTCTGTAGCCTCTTCAGCTTGCAACGGAGGCACATCATCCGCCTCCCCTGCCTTCCCAGTATCACTCTCTCCACTATCACTCTCCCCATAATCACTACTCTCACTTCCGTCACTCTCACCGTCCTTACCGCTCTCCACCGCAGTCAGCCCAGTCCCCTCCTCCTCCCCTTCCTCCCCAACCCCCCTCTCTCCCTCACCTCCCCCTGCTGACGTGTCATCTTGCGATTGGATTTTCGCGCCAGCCTGGCGAAAGGGAGCCAGGATAGCATCCAAATCAACCACGCGGAACCGGTACTCACACGCGCTCATCATCGCGCGTATCCTCTCCTCCTCCTCCGCCGTAACCTCCTTTTTCAGCTCCGGTATTCCCAAGGGGGACTTGATGCTGCTTCCAGGCGTCACCAGTACATTTTCCATAACCGGCTGTAGCTGCCTCTCCGGCTGTTGCTGTGCCTCCGGCTGTAGCGGCGTCTGTAGCTGTGTTTCTGCCGCCCGGGCCTTTAGCAAGCTCCTGCTGGGGGTGATGTTGATGTCGGCGAATGAGACGCCGACACATGGCACGGTGGCGCTGCAGCGCACGTAGATCCCGTGCGTGTGGTTGCTCGTGCCGTAGATGTTCCGGAACGACACGTTGCTTATCGCCACTGCATCGCCACTGCTGCTGCTGCTGCTGCTGCTGCTGTTGGTGCTGCTGTTCACCGATGCTGCTGGTGGTAACCAGGTTACCAGCATCGTCGCTGTCACTGTCATCGTCAGCATCAGTGCTGCTGCTGCAGCTGTAGGAGCCGTCACTGCAGCGGGTCTGCCAATGGATGGAGTGGTGAGATGTGGGAGGGAGAGATGCAACAGCAAGAGGTGATTAGATGCATGGGAAGTAATAGCAGGTACTGGACTTCATTCGGGTCGTTTTTTTTCGAATTCTCAAAAGCATCAGGTGTTTGTCATTGTTTGGGGATGCATTTTGAAGGCCACCTGTGGGGCCAGACTGAGTTGAGTGCGGTCTTGAGACATTTAGGAGAATCCGCTGACCTGGTCGATTTTAATTGGTTCGGTCGTCTCGACGACTTCCACGTCAGCAAAGTGCACGTTGGACACGCACCCCCTGCCGCCCTGGAACGTGCTAATGCGCAGCGCGTTCCTCCCCCCGTACACCGTCGCGTTCTTTACAGTCACATTCGTTACACACGCCGTGAAGTGGTCCTGACCGAGATTGAAGATGCTGGAGGGGGATGGAGGGGAGATAAGTACGAGGTTTGGGAAGGCGAAATTGGGAAAGTTGAGATTGGAGAGAGGCAAGGGAGGGAAGGGAGGACAAGCGTCGGGGGAACTAGAAACCAGGACTGCTGAACGAACTGAAGGGTCGGGGAGTCAGGGATCGTAAGCGGGGGGAGGGGGGGGTGGTGCGTCTACTCTCACGCACAGCTACTCATACACCTTGAGAACCAGTCCTCTTCTTACCCCATCCCTCCCTTCCACCCTCCCCTGATGTCGCAGCCAGCCGAGCTGAACACATGGCTGATGTTGGCGCTGATAGGGTAGTACTGAATCTACCCACAAGTATTCATACTCTTAGAAACTCATATCCTGGCGTGTGTTTACTCTCACGCACAGCTACTCATACACCTTGAGAACCAGTCCTCTTCTTACCCCATCCCTCCCTTCCACTCTCACCTGATGTCGCAGCCAGCCGAGCTGAACACATGGCTGATGGTGATGTTAGTGGTGGTAGGGTACTACTGAATCTACCCACAAGTATTCATACTCTTAGAAACTCATATCCACAGGTATTCATACTCACCCATTCCCCCAATAGTCAACACCCTTTCACCCTCACCTGATGCTGCGGCCAGCAGAGCTGAACACATGGCTGATGCTGATGTTGGCGCTCTTATCCACAAAAGATCATACCTACAGCACTCATAACCACAAGCATTCATTCTCACCCATCCCCCCATCCGTCCCCTCCGCCCTTACCTGATGCCACGACCAGCAGAGCTGAACACACGGCTGATGCTGATGTTGGCGCTCTTATCCACTATAGCGATGCCGTTGCCGCCCGTGTGCATCCTGCAATTCCTTATAATCACATTCGTTGCAGCAGCCAGGTGCAGCCCGTCAGTCCCAGGGCTGTTGTACGGACTCATTGCAGTCACCTCCTGTACAATCACGTTGTTGCACTCCTGTATGCTGATATGCGTCTCAGGCGGGTTTCGTACAGTAATCTGCTCTATAACGAGATTATCACACTTATGGAACAAAAACCCTTTGGGTCGGGCGTATGAGTCGGGCTGCCCGAGCGACAAATGTTCCCGCCATGTCTCCAGCCCCTGCCCGTCAAAACTTCCCGCCTGCCTGCCCTGCCCGGACGACGTCACGGTCAGCCCAGTCACCCGGTCGAAATAAAGATGCGCCGCCACGCTGTAAGCCGATTGGTAGGAAGAAACGGGCATGTTAGGAGCCAGAATCCTCCCGTCCAATAAGAAGATGACACCTGGCCCGCAGGGCCCCAAAAATACCATGGGTGTGGTGAGGAAATCAGCTCCATCGGGAATGGTGACGGTGGCTTTGGCGTTGTTCTGTCGCGCCCATTTGCATGCTTCGTTAAAAGCTGCCTCAATAGCCTCGCCATCGTCGTTCTGCCCGTCGCCTAGCGCGCCGAAATGGTACACGTTGAAAGAGCCTGAAACGGAGGTGTCTGTAACGGGGATAGGCTGGGAAAGCGTGCGCAGCACGTCTTGCGTAGTGGTTGCGTTGGACGTTCCTCCTCCTGCGCCTGAGGAGTTGTTCTGTGAAGCTTCCACCACCGAGCCGGATTTGGGGGGAGGGTAGATCTGAAAGTTGGGCCATTCCTGATCGGGAGGGTCGGAATACGGATCGTTCACCTCGTCAGCACCCCCATCACCATCACCATCGGCATCAGTACTGTCACTATCACCGTCAGCGTCAGCAGCACCATCAGCACCAGTACTGTCACCATCACTGTCAGTATCAGCATCTAAGCCATCAGCAGCAGCACCACCACCACTTCCCCCATCCGAATCCACCCCCACGCCTCCACCACCCACCATCGTTTCTTTCACCACCCCTCCCCGCCCGCGCGTGCCGTTCCCCGCCGTCCGTCCGCAGAGGTCCGTATGCACGCAGAACGCGGAAGAGTAGAAGCACGAGGGGAACGGCTCGCAGCTGCCGACGCGGTTCGCGCGCCCCGCCCACGCGCACGTGTCGAGCGTGCACGCGTCGCCGTCGTCGCACCCGCGCGCGACGCGCGACACGACCGAGCAGAACGAGTCGAGCTCGAAGCGGCAGTCGCCCGAGAGAGTCGTGGCGGCGGGCGGCGGCGCCCATGCGTCCGCGCGCGACAGGCGCGCGGAGAACGGCCAGCCTTCCACGCGGACGAACAGCCCCTCCTTCGGGCGGAACAGGCACGCGGGGCGGGGGAGCGGGGCGCGAAGGCGCGGGTCGAGGAGGTCCGGGTCTTCCGAGCCTGATTCTGCCGAGCCTGGTGAATCGTCTTGGTCTGAAGCGGGTTGCTGCTGCTCCCCTTGCCCGTGCGCCTGCCGCTGCGCTAGTGCTTCCTCCTCCAGCGCCTCTATCTCCTCCGTGCTCATGCCGCCGCCATCGCCGCCGCCATTGCTGCTGCTCTCCTTTCCGTCAGTGGCTGCGCTGTTGCCATTCGCTTGAGTCACACTCTCCCCTGTGTCACCCCCGCCGTCATCACCAGCGCCGTCGGCGCCGCCAGTGCCGCCAGCGCCGCCAGTCACGGCAGCACCGGCACTAGTCACCGTCCGAATCCCTTTTCCGCCACCCGCCGCAAACCCCCCATCGCCCACCTCTCCCCCTCCCCCTCCACCAATGCACTCCTCCTTCACGCGCCGCTCGCACCGCGCGCTCTCGTAGAAACACGACGGGAACGGCGTGCAACTCCCGATAGTGTTATTCCCGCCTTGCCACAAACAGTAATCTTCCGTGCATTCGTCCCCGTCGTTGCACCCCCCCGGTCTCCCCACCACTCCGCACGCCGAGTCGATTATAAACCGGCAGTTACCGGTCATGGCGACTTGCCCGGGCCGCGGCGCCCACGCGTCGCTTGCGGAGAGGCGGACGCGGAAGCGGTTCTTTAAGCGGATCATGAAGCGGTTCTTATGGGGGATGAAGATGCACGCGCTGCGAGGCGGCGGCATTGTTCCCACGATCTCGATAGTGTCATCTGACCCGTCCTCGTTATTATCCCCAGTATCATACTCGTTATAAGCATCGCCGCCGTCCAATTCAGATGCGTCTCCTGCGCCCTTTTGCTCCCCTTCCTCGCTCTCCGCCTTCCCTTTCCCCTCCGTATCCGAATCCGCAGTCCCCGCGTTCTCCCCCGTTTCCCCGTCTTTTCCATCCCCTTCTCCGCTTCCGCCACCTTCCCCCTCGCTTCCGCCATCGCCTGCGGATACATTGGCGGAAGCGGATGAAACCGCGCCTTTCGGCGCAGACGGGGGAGTTGGCGGCGCGATGCAATCTGGATTCGTGACACTATCGGGAGACGCGGTATAAGAACAGGATGGACCCGCTAAGAGGCAGTCGGGATAAGGCAAACACGTGGCTGGGTCGGCCGGCACACACGTGTCGGTCGTGCATTCGTTGTGGTCGTCGCATCCGCCAGTGGGCGTGACATCTTGACACGTGGCGTCAATCAAGAACTGGCAGTCGTTCGTCAGCACCTTCCGACCAATGGGAGGCGCCCACGCGTCCGTCGAGTTGAGCGGAACCCTGCGTATGAGCCAAGAATTTGGAACAAGGGCGAATTACCATGTGGATAAAACAGAGAAACGAAACGAAGGCAAAATCAATGAAAAAAGCGAAACCACGGTTTTCTGCTCCGCTGACAGTGACGGTTTCTGAAACGCTTTGAACGCTGATAATTCACTAGCTGCCTTGAACCCCGTCTCCGGTAACGGGTTCCCCTTTACAAGTGAAAGATGATTGTTTCTACACCTCGGTTGATAACGGGCCGCCTCACGGCAAATTCCACTCACAGTGTACTAAGTCCCTCCACCAGCACGAATTCCCGTTTCTCCGCGACAAACACGCACGCGCTCGCGCGCGCGCGCAGCCCCGCGGCCTTCACCGCGTTAAGGAGAATCGCAGCCCCCACTGGCGCGCGCTCCAAGCTGACCGCGCCTGCCTTTCCGCCACGAGTCATGGCGGGAGGGGATTTGGGCGGCGCTGACGTGGAACGCGGGGCAGGCGCGGGCGCTACAGCCGCGGCTGTAGCCGTTTTCTTGGCGGGGACTATGGTAGAAGCGGCAGGCGGAAAGATGGCTGAAGGAGTGCTGGCGGGGGCGGAAGGCATGTGCGGAGCAGCGGAGGCGGTCTTCTGGGTGGCGGAGAGGGAGGCGGCCGCGGAAGCGAGAGGAGTGACGTCACTTCCGGCACCTCCGCCGCTTATGGTGGTGGCGGGGGAAGCGGAGGGGAAGAGGGGGATGTTGGCGATGGGTGTTGGCCCGGGAATTGCGGATCGTGCAAGCAGCGCTGCCGCAGCGGGGATTCGATTGCTGGCGGAAACCGAGTTGGCAGCGGCTTGTGGGGGTGTGGCGATCGGTGTTGCGAGTAGGAGCACTGGTGGGTTGGTGGTTGGAGGGATGAGACGCGAGAAGGGGGAAGGAGAGGTGATGATGACAGATGCAGTAAGTGAAGGGAGAGAAAAATAGCAACGACAAGGAAATGATTCGAACGAAGAGATTGCAATCGTCTAACCGCTAGTTGGAAGGAAACAAGTAAAAGCCGCGTGGGAACGACGGATTATGAATCTCGAGGAGCAGGAGCGGTGAGACGTCTTTCAGGAAGAGAAAGAAGCTCGGTCAAGAGCGGTGCTGTGGAGCGAATCTACGTATGACTGACTGTCCTCTGACATGCTGAAAGGCAGTTGAGCGCACGTAAGACAGACGGATTCAAGGCTCGGAAATAATAGTTAACGCAGGGTTCGACGTTTCGTGTAGTCACGCACCTAGGGATAGAATGATGGCCGCCACGCAGTTTCTGCCAGACCTGAGTCGCGTTGCAGACGGAGAAGAAGCTGCTGGTAACATTGTTACAATCTCACGGTGTGGCAACATCACACTGACTGTACGTCTCCGTCGTTTTCCAGGGGGAAGGGCCGCTAACGGCGGTGTGGTGACACTAAACGGCCGTCGTCGCCGCGGCGACAGTGACGTATGCTCGTCTGTAAACATGACTACTCTACGTCATGGGTTTGTACAAGCTCGGACCATAGATTACTCTCGGCCCTCTCTGTTCTTTCCGAATGTTATGGTTCTTAAAGTGCTTTTGTTTGAGGTGAATGAGCACAACGCACAAGTGCTTCTTGCTCAGATTGTCGAGAGCGTTTAGTCTAGAGTTCGTACTACCAGCTCACATAGAAAAAAACAGCTCTTTTGATGTGCACTGCTTTGAATCTCTCGTTTCCTGGATGGCTGTGCTGGGAGTAGATTCCTCCTCACGTGTCTGACGGGTGCTGCTGGTCGGAGTAACGGGACGGCTCGAAGTGATGGGACGGAAAAGTGAGAGGAGCCATGGAGTGTAGTGCCCCTGGAAAAGGAGCTGGTTGATAGGCGATGGAAGTGGGAGGAGTGGACGGTGGTTGGTTGATGGACTTCGCTGAAGGGAATTTTAAATTTCGAAGGGGCATCGCAGCCGTCAACAGCTTGAACCATTCCATTGGAGAAATCGTAGCCGTCGGTAATTTCGCGCCTCCATGCCTTGCAACGGGTAGCAGGACGAACAAGTATGGTTTGAATTGGCCAAAACCTCACACCGCTCGCGTCGCGAAGTTAACCGCCCTCAAGATCTGCTTCCAACGAGCCGCTCATCACATCGTACGGCCAACTTGACGTCCTGAAATGTTTCGAGGGCGCGAACGCAATTCAAACTTTTATTCGCGATAGAGGCATGTCGATCTTGGCATTATAGAACTTGAGAGAAGGTCCAAACTAAAATACTATAGATATGTCGACTAAAATTCTATAAGCATACAATATCTAGCATATATCCCGAAATTCATATCTATCATCCCGAAATTAATATGAAATATGAAAAAAATGCTAATATTCACATTAGATCAACCTCTCTTACTAATGGGCATGTATGATGCATCCATAAGAAATATTTACAAAGGTTATGCTATAGGACAATATGTAGCTCATTATAAAAAAAATCATTTGAAGGAAATTCGTGGGCAAACTCGAGACTGGAAGGAAATAAATGAAAAATATCTTGCAACAAAAGCAGGCGAGCACTCTGTATCGCTGTCGGGAACGAGTATAGGTTCAATGTCCGCGGTTCTGTATAGATTCGAATTGAGGATCGTGTCGTCTCGGGATGCACCACGGGCACTGTTCGACAAGTTGCTAGATGGAATGATTAGATTGCTGCGCTGTATGTCTGTGACCAATGAGAAGAAAGTGGTTTCATGCGCTGGCGTGCTACCCCTTTGGTCCAGATGCGCCCCTTGATTGTTTGCAATAATTTAGCTCGAGTGTTGTGGAGCATGAACCTGGCAGGCCATATTGATGGATGGTAACATTCACCTGTACACGCACACACCAATAAGCACTAGAATGTGGGTAATTATCCTTGGAATCATAGATCACTGAAGATAATCCGCACTCATCCCAACTCCTACTCCCTCGCAGCCTCCCACCTCTCACCATTGCCTTGTGTGCCCTGCCTTGCTAGTGTGAACAAGCAAGTAATGTTCACGTGAGGTGGAGGTTGCACAACCTTAGAGCGAGTGAGTGAAGTGTGCAGAGTGTGGTTTCAGAGCTCCACTGTTTACTCTGAAAACACTGCCTAGCGAAATCCAGCGCACGTATGGAATGGATTTCTACCAGCAGGGTGTTGGTGAAGAATGGAGGGCACCGCCATGCAAGGTTTCCGCCCTGTGGAAGCAGATCCCACCCCATTTTTCTTCCTGACCAGATCCAACTTACCACAGTTTTCCTGCCCGAACGCCATGCACATTCACATTGTTGGATGTTCGTTGGGGGCAGCCATGGCAGCCATACACCATTGTCACAGCGACGACGGCCGTCCGATTGATCACGTCAATCCAGCGTGGCCCTCCCCAGCAATGGGATGCTGCTGCGTCAGCAGCATCCAGTTCATGAACGCGCCTGCTGACACGCGGGGGAGGACACCAGCACAATTTGTCTCCATGCGCGGTGGTCCCTAGGAAGCACTAACCCGTATCATCTGGCTTCGCCTCGCCTCGCCTCGCCTCACCTCGCCCGCCCCATCCATCTCCTCGTGCGTTTCTCCCTTCCTTTCCGCCTCTAGAGAGGAGGGAATCACGTGGGCGTCATTTACCTCCTCCCCTCACCGCCACGCCATCACTTCTCTCGACTCGCCTCGCCATCCCAGTCACCCCTGCGACGACCATCCACTCCATACCTTTCCAAGTGGCAATCTCTCCTTCCCTCTCCCATTCTTTCAGATTCTCCTCTCTTTCCACCCTGTCCGGTATTCCGTCCGTGTCCCTTTGCCTCCCTTCAGGAGAAGCTGCATTTGCTGTGCTGCGATTCCGTGGCAAGTTGGTAACCCGTTGTTTGGCAAGTGCACCACCCTCCCCTTCGCGCTGGCGTTCTGTCTCTGATCCATCCGCCTTAGACCGTGCTTTCTCTCAAAGCCCGTTGCCGCCATTGCCTGCGGCAGGTTCACCCCCCTGCTTGCAATTCGCTACCGCTTCTGAGCTTTCTTGCCTCCAAACTGCATTTCTTTCACACTCGCGAACCAATTGAAGTATCCTGCTGCTAAATTCTCCAGTAACGTTAGTATTTTATTTAGTCTGCGTTAGCAAACATAGCTTGTATCCTGACTCTTGGAACGGCTTAGCATAGTCGTTTTTCCTTGGTCGCTAGGGTAGTCACTCCTCTTCTTACACCCTCAGCACCATACCACAATGTGTTTCGACAATTCTTGGCTGGCGGCCTCATCTCGGGTCCAGCAGGACAGGAATCAAGTAGACTCACAGAAATTAGTCAGGCAATGGGGTTCAGAGCTCTCCCTTAACCCAGACTCGAACCAATTTTGGGCCTCGGAGGAATCTGATTATATCGAGGACGCTGAGCCTGAGCCTTCACCCCATTCGTTCATCGCAGAGGACTTACCATGGGCGAAGCGCATGCTGTCATCTCACCGACGGGAGTCCGTGGACCTGACCAACAACCTCCCAGACGATTGCTTGTCGCACATCTTCTCCTTCCTTCCCAATGCCAACGACCGCGGCTCGTGCGCTCTCGTCTGCCGCCGTTGGCTTCAGATCCAGGGCCTTCTGGGCTGGAACGGTGCGGCTCCATTCGCCATAGGTCCTCTGGCGACGAAACCAGAGGCAATCACCTCTGATTCTGCAGATTCCGAGAAGCATTCTGCACCGAGTACCGCCGGTGACTTGTCGCGTTGTCTAGAGGGTCGCCATGCCTCAGACACGCGGCTCCTTTCGATGGCCATCGGCCTGCCTAGCCGCGGCGGACTCAGCCGCTTAGTGGTTCGCGGGGATCGCGTGACAGCGGTTCCGGCAATCTCCACGCCGACGCGCCTCACCAATCTTGGCTTCCAGGCAATTGTCGGCGCGAGTCCCGGGCTGCTGTCGCTAACGCTCTGGAACTGCCCGTACGTCGACGACGAGGTGCTCCGGATGCTCGCGTCTCGTTGCAAGGCTCTTCGCCGCCTCGATATAATGAACTGTCCACGTGTCACCGACAAGGGCCTGTCCGCGATCGCGCGTGGCTGCCACGAGCTCCTGAATCTCAGCGTTTCCGGGTGCCCTCGCGCCTCGAACGCCTTCCTCGCCGCCATGGCGTCCGGCTCGAAGCGGTTGGTGTCTCTAGCGCTCTCCGACTTACCCATGGTGAATGAGTATGGATTAAAGCTCATGGGTTCTTTCTGCAAGGAACTGAAGCGGTTGCGACTGTCTGGGAAGATTGGCCTAACAGACTCTGGTTTGAGGCTTGTGGGTGAACACGTGGCGGGCCTACAGTGGCTAAAGCTGTCGGATTTACCTTTGTTGACAGAAGAGGGTTTCAGAGGACTTGGTCAGTCGAAAGGATTCCAGAGCCTGCAGTCCGTCACGTTCGCCGGTTGTAAGCAGCTTACGAACACGGCTTTAAGGGCGGTCGTGGAGGGGTGTTCGAGTTTGAAAAGCCTCAGCTTGTCTAAGTGTCCCGCCGTCTCGTGCTGTGGGATTAAGGACGCTCTCGACGCGGCTGGATCACTCGAGTCTCTAACTCTTCACAAACTCTCCAATCTTTCCTGTGCGCGGGGTTCTGAGGAGGCGGGACAGGTGCAGCAGCGGCAGCAGCAGCAGCAAGAAGGGGGGTGCAAGGGCGGGTGCTGCATATGGAGCGGATCCTGCTCAAAGCTCACCAGTCTGTGCATCAGCCACTGCGACGGCGTAGGTCGCCGGTGTCTCGAGATGCTGGGTCGCAGCAACGCCAGCCTCCAGTCGCTCGAGCTGGCGGGTCTTCCTGGAGCAGAGGACAAGGGCGTCACTAGCCTAGTAGCAGGCTGCGGGGCGAAGCTTTCAAGCGTGGACCTGAGCGGCTGTTCCCAGATCACAGACAAGGCCGTGGTTGCCATTTCGCGCTGCTGTGGCAACTCTATGAAATCCTTGTCCCTGGATGGGTGCTCCAATGTGACTGACCGCAGTTTGAGAGCCATAGCCTCGTCGTGCACAGCTCTTGAAGACTTGGACTTGTCCATGTGCGGGATCAGTGATCGTGGACTGTCTGCCTTGGTCAGCAGCTTGGGGCCATCGCTTCTCAATCTATCACTGGCTGGATGCCAGGGAATGACGGACAAGAGTCTGAAGAAGATCATGACTCAGTGCCAGAAGCTCACTGGACTCAACTTGAAAAATTGCCCAGGCTTGACCAAGGAGGCCATAAGGTCCATTCAGCTGAGTTCTCACTGTCTCAGTGGGCCCAGCTGCCTATTCGTCGATGATGCCTTGTAGTTGATATGTAGTTGTATCGCCTTTTACCACGATGAAAGATCCATTGCATGCACTTACCAGATAGGCTGTACGGTTAATGGGAAACATGTACAGCACTTGGGAGACATATTTATGAGTTTCCAGACATAATGACATTCCGAGTGTATTCCTATTATAAGAAAGCTTGCTGCAAAAGTGGATCCTAGAACAGCAATTTCCAACATGAGAAATACGGTAATCAAGACTATTGGTGTGAACTTTTAGAATTCGCACGTAGATGAGCTGCACTTCGAATCTCAACTATTCCCACCACCACCTTCAATCGAGTGCTCTCTAGCTGCAAAAGCGCAGTTACCTAGTAAAAGATTTGGCTTCCAGTCACCACTATTGGAAACCAAGCTGGATAGCAAAGCAAGGACGATACTAATATACAAATCCTACAAACAAAAGCGGAAGAAATGTCATAGCTGATGGGCGACGACAACAGCCAAGGTCTGGTTATACGTCTGCAAAACAAAGATTAAGATATTTCAGAGAAATGCCCACCATGTAGCCACGGTAAATCATGAAAAAAGGCACACTCAAAGAGCGTCCAAAGGCTGGCAACGGACCTTCAAGTAGTTGATATATGCAGCAGCGCTTTCTAGAAGCTCCGCCACGTCAGGCTCCGGACCAACCAGTGAAGACGGTATCGATTTTTGAAGCATTTTCAGGCATTGCCTGCACCACAGACAACATGCTAAGTCATGCTGAGGTCGCCAGGACTCATCCACAAAAAAAAAAAGAAAGAACAGAAAGAAGCTTACTTGAGCTGCTCTCGTCTTTCGTTCCACCCTTCTGGAGACAGGTCGTCGTGAGGGGCATAAGGAACTCCACCTTCCTCTCTGTCGTCCGTAACAGTCGAACCAAATTCGTCACTCACAGCCTGCGTCTGCATGCCGAACTGTTCCAAATCCCTCTCAGACCGCTGAGAAGCGGTATGCGCAGCGTTATCTTGTACGAGGTCCATTGCTTCGAAATATTGCACGAATACTGACACTAAAAACTCAGGAAGGAAGTTCCTACCGCGACACGACTGACTAATTAGAGAATCGCAAAATGCAAATGACACAAGTAGGCAAGATGAGAGCGTACCAAAGCGATATTGCACAATCTGAATCCAAGTGACAGGGAAGTGGTACTTATTGGCAAGCTGAGAGAGCTGAATCTGAAAGCACGACAGACGAGAGAATGGCTAGGGTAAGACAACAGAAATCCAGTTGCCGCACGGAACGGCTAGGATTAGGCTACTCAAGCTAAGAACCATCCCCATCAGCACCGGGAACGGATGACGCCTTACTGAGTAATGGCGGGTGGGGGATGATTGGCTTGCACAGAATATCAGCGAACGCCTGATGTTCCCTCAAGGCGGATCGGATCATATCGGGTACACCACGCCTTTGCAGTGGTGGTTGCCCAGCCCCATGGGAAGAAACGACAGCCAATCGCAGCTGTGTGCGTTGTGGATACGACGAGGCGGAGGTCCCGTTAGCCGCAGGCTTGCGAATCGCGAGCGCGCAAATTACGGGTCACCAAGTAATTTGTGATCAGAGAAAAACAGCAACTCCAGAAAACTAGGAAAATGTGGTATAGTCTCAGCTCCGCGATTTCCATAAAATTTGGACGAGACAGATATCTTAACCCAATCACAGGCATTTCAAGGATACCACAAATAGATTTCAGCCAGAGAAGACTCTTTAGACGCATCCTTGCAAACCCTCATCCTTACGTACGTTGCGCGAGGAAAACCAACACGAAGCCAAAGCCAGAAGCCACAAACGGACAGTCTAGTGCGATGCAAACCAGGGACCCAAAGGCCCATTCGACTGTGGCCCACTGGTGGAAGGCAAGCCTCCACCTGGCAGACTACTATTGGCCGAGGCCACAGCAGGCACTCTGCTCCCAGGAGCAGCAGAAGCCACTGCTGCATGATGAGTCAGACCGCCGGCCGGATGGCTCAGAACATGCGGCGGCAACCCGTTTGCAGGATGAACAGGCCGAATGCCCATTCCCACGCCAGCAGCAGCAGCAACTCCTGCTGCCATCCCCGCCCCCATCCCCACCGCCATGCCTGGACCCCCGGCACCAGCAGGACCGGCAACACCCGGCCCTGCCAAGCCTGCGGCAGGCATGGGCAAAGAGGGCAAGGCCCCTGGGTGAGAGGGTGTGGGGCGATTGGGAAGATAGAGAGCCGCACCCAAGGCAGGTGCGACGAGGAGAGACTGCGAGGCTGACGCTGCAGCAGAGCCTGCAGCGGCACCCGCATGGTCCAATGAGGGGCCGACAGCTAAGCTGTCGGCCAGGGCTGCTGCTGCTGCCTGTTGTGGTGGCGGGGATGGCTGCTGCTGTTGCTGATGCTGCTGCTGCAGGTGAGCGTGTTGCATGTGTGCCTGCGAGTGCACCTGCTGCTGACCATGCTGCTGCTGCTGCAGCTGCTGTTGTGGCGGCGGCTGCTGCGCTTGTGCAACTGCCTGGTGTTGCTGCTGCTGTTGCTGCTGCTGCTGCTGCTGATTCTGGCTGAGGCTGCTGCCCCTGCTGCTGCCTCTGCTGCTGCAGCAGCCGAACCTGCCTAAGCCCCTCGTCATGAATCCGAGCCAGAGTATCAAGCTCGGCAAGCGACAGATTCTCCAATCCAGCACCATACAGCGGCGCATGCCTAGACATCTCCTCCTGAAGCGATGCTTCTAGGGTTTGGATATAATCCTGGTGAGCATGCAGCTTTGCCTCCATGCCGTCGATGTATGCCTCGTATCGCTGCACCTGCTCCTCCTTCTCCCGCAGCCCACCCTCCGTCTGCCCCACCGTCTGCGTCAGCCGCCGAACCTCCTCCTCCAGGGACTGCCGAGCCTCGTCGCGAGACACGGTTTCCGTGGCAAAGCGCTTCACCTCCTCGTCAAACCGCTTCCTCGCCTGCTCTGCCGCTTTCAGGCGCTCCGCTAGGGCGTTCTTCTCCTTCACCACTTTCTGTGAGGTGCGGGGAAGGGGGAAAACCAGGGAGGGAGAGGAGGGGATGATTCTTGCCTCTGAGGTTATCTGTGCACACAGAGCCGTAGGAGGGAGAAGGGCAAACAACGAAGCTTAAGCATAGAAATAATCGAGTTTGAAACTGGAAGAGCAGGGGTGAGGGCAAGGAAGAGAAGATTGGTAGGGGAGAGGGGAGGGAGGGAGGACATAGAGAGGAGAAAGACAAGGGGATGCACAGCTCACCTTGAGCTCCTCCCGCTTACGCGACTTGAGCTGTGTCAGCTGCGCCTCAGCCGAGGCAGGGGGAGAGCGAGTGGATGGGGAAGGGAGGGGGAGGGGAGAGGGAAGGGAGGGGGGACCGCGAAGGAAGCAGGGCTCACCTTGAGCTCCTCCCGCTTGCGCGACTTGAGCTGCGTGAGCTGCGCCTCGCTCTCCCTCAGCCGCTCCGCCAGCTGGCGCTTCTCCCCCGCCAGCTTGCTCACCGCCTCGTCCTTCTCCGCCTTGGCCCACTCCACCGCCCCCTCCATCTCCCTCACCCTCTCCACCGCCTCCCTCCTCTCCCTGGCGCCCTTGTCTGCTTCAGCCTTCAGCTCAGCCTGCACAGGGGAATGTGGTAGGCACAGGAGGAACGGGGGAAAAAGGGAAGCTTGAGTGAAACTCGTCCTTCTCCGCCTTGGCCCACTCCACCGCCCCTTCCATCTCCCTCACTCGCTCCACTGCCTCGCGCCCCATCACTCTGCCCCCACCATCAGTCTTTCCTCACCTTGAGCCTGCCCCCACCACCACCCATTTCTCACCTTGAGCTTGCCCACTGACGCCTCTGCGTCGCTCAGCTTCTGCTGCAGGCTCGCCTTCTCCCGCCCGTGCCGCTCCGCCTGCCCCTGCCCCTCCGCCCTCGCTGCTCTCAACTCGCCCTCTGTGGCCTGCAGCTGCTGCCACACCACCGCCCTCTCCTGCACTGCCACGTCAGCAGCCTCGCGCATGAGCGACAGCACTGGCCGCGCCACCCCCTCCTCTTGCGCCTGTGCAGGGCGACGGGGGGAAGAGGAGGGGAGGAACGGGGGGGGGGGGTGTGGAGGGAGGGGGAAAGGATGTGGGAACGGAGGGGGGGGAGAGGAGGGGGGGGGGGCACTAGGGGAGGGGGCCAGTTAGGAAAAGAGAATAATGAGAACCCATACATTGAATCAGGAGACAAGAACCAAAGAGAACGATGAGCCAGAGGGAAAGAGTTGGAACGGGAGAGTTGGAAAGGGGAGGGTTGGGAGGGGAGGGTTGGGTGGGAGGGGAGGGTTGGGAGGGGAGGGTTCGAAGGTCATTCACCAGACGTTCAGTCAGCAGCCTAGCACCCAGACACACATCAGACAAAGAACCACCCCAACAACTCACAAGGAACGAGAGGATGTCAAGACCAACCTCCCCTTGCGGTGCTACACACACAGCACACAGCACACAGCACACAGCACACAGCACACAGCACACAGCGCATTCATCAAGCAAAACCCCAACCCGACAGCTCACGAGGAACGAGAGGATGTCAAGCCCAAGCTCCCCTTCCGGGGCGCCTCTCTGGCAGCTGGTCACTCTTGCCACGAGTCCTCGCAGTATCCTCTCCCTGCGCCCCGCGTCGCCATACACCTTGTACAGCACCGCATACAGCGTGCCCACAAACTCCCGCACGCGCTGCTCCTCACTCATCGCCAGCGCCTCTGCCAGCCCGATCACTGTCGGGAAATCCGTGTCCTCCAGACTGGTGCCTAGCGCTGGGGAGCTGGAAGGGACTAGGGCGTTTCCGGAGGGGTCGAGAGCGGGAGAAGAGGAGGGGGCGATGGATGCTCCTCCTCCTGCTGCTGCTGCTGCTGCTGCTGCGGCTGCTGCGCCGGTGGTGCATGTGGAGCTGCAGGGCTCGAGACACCTGTCGTGCTGTTCCTGCTGTTCCTGCTGCTGCTGCTGCTGTTGCTGTTGTTGCTGTTGCTGTTGCTGCTGACGCCGTTTCTTTCTCGAAAGCTGCTGCTGCGGCTGCTGCTTCCCCTGCTGCTGCCTCTGCGGCTGCTGCTGGGGTTGCTGTTGCTGCTGCTGCTGCGGCTGCTGCTGCGGTTGCTGCTGCTGCTGCTGCTGCTCCACCATCCCCCCCTACCTCACTCCCACCAGGCGCTGATCCAGTCAGGGCCGGCAACCCAGCAGCACCAGCAGCCATCCCACTCCCATCCACCCCATCCATGCCCCCCCCTGCCGATGCAGCAGACAGAGCCGCCAGATGCTGCGACCGCCGCCTCTCCAGCACCATCACCATCGCCTGCTCCCCAAACGCTCCTCTTGCCACTGCCCGTTCAAACACCGCCTGCGCGTTCCCCCGCAGACGTGGCAGCGTCAGCATCTCCATCAGCATGTCCACGTCAGCAACACGCCAGCAGGCGGCGGCTGCTGCTGCCATGACAGCAGCCTGCTGTGCGGCCGCCAGCTGGAGCTCTGCAGCTGCCGCGGCAGCTGCAGGGGAGGTCGAGGGGAGCGCAGGGGCGGGGGAGGAGGAGTAAGGAGAGAACGCGGTCAAGGAGTTTGCAACCCCGCCAGCAGCGCTGCTGGTGAACGTCCCTCCAGGAGACCCCCCCGCGGACGCCCCAGCAGAAGCGCTCCCCCCTGCCCCTGCCCCTGCCCCCCCACCTCCCACTCCACCACCACTAGCCCCACTCGCCATCGCCCCTGCACTCCCACCCCCAGCCGCCGCAGCTGCCACCGCCGCTGCCGCCGCAGCCGCAGTCCCACTGTTAGCCGACGCCGAGGCAAACGCAGCAAGGCTCTCCAGAGCCTCAGGCGTGAGCGAGTGCTGCAGGTGTGAGAGATCAATCTGGCCTATAGACGCCATCTGGGCCATGGGCAGCAGCGAGGGGAGGGACGCAGCTGCTGCAGCCATGGCGGAGGAGAGGAGGTGCGGGTTGAAGGGGCGCGTGTCGGCGTCTATGTCTCTCAGCATGGCCATGGCTATGTCCTCTCGGGCGACTACAGAGGCACGCAGGGCGTGCAGCACGCGTGGGGAGACTGCTGGGCCCAGCTGCTGCAGTCGCTCCCGCACCGCTCGAACCTGGGAGAGGGAGGGGGGAGGAGTAAGGGAAGCCGGGTGAGGATGTGACTTGTGATCTAGTTAACAGGCTGCTGCAGCAAGTGGGAGAGCGATAAGGGAGAGAGGCCGCCGCACAGGAGGAACTTACAGCAGGGGGGAGCTGCTGGCACTCGGCTGCGGTTTTCAGCATGAAGCTGAGAGCAACAGAAGCTTACACCAGCAACAACAGCCCACTTGCACAGAGGACAAAGGGAAGGAGATCTTACGGCGGGGGCGAGCTGCTGGCACTCGGCTGCGGCTTTAAGCACGAAGCTGAGGGCGGCTGCAAGGGCATCGTCGGTGGTGTGAGGCAGCAGCAGCACCGCCTCCTCCAACACCAGCGACCAGGTGAGCGGGTCTAGTTCCATCTGCACCAGCGCTCCCACCACCTGAGAGATTGAGGGGGAGCAAAGCAAGGCATGCATCGAGAATATATTAAGCGCACGAGGAGCCTGCCCATCACCTGCAGCAGCAGCAGCACTGCCTCCTCCAACACCAGCGACCAGGTGAGCGGGTCTAACTCCATTTGCACCAGCGCTCCCACCACCTGAGAAAGCGACAGCCAAGGGAAGTGAGCAAGGGGCACAGGAGGGTGAGGGAGAAAGATGCTTTTTGAATCGAGTCAGAAGTCGTGTCATCACAGGCAGAAGCAGCAGCACTGACTACTCGAGCACCAGCGACCAGGTGAGCGGGTCCAGCAGCAACACTACATCACCAGAGAGAACAAGCCACTTTGTAATCAACTCTAACGTAGCATGGACAACACTTACCGGCAGCTGCATCATGGGTTCGGCGCCGGGCTGTCGCAGCCGCTGCAGCAGCGCCGCAGCAGCCTCGCCGTGCTCCTCCACGTCCACCAGCCTCGGCACCAAGCCTAGGATCTCGGCTTGGAAGGCCCGGGGCGCATGCTCTAGCACCATTGCCACCTTGCGCGCGGAGTGCGGGCGGCGCCGCAGTGGCGGGTCAGGGTACGGGTAGGCTTGCGCTTGCGGCACGGCGGTTTCGAGGGCGCGGAGCGAGTCGACTATGATGCCCAGTAGCTCGTCTGCTTGCTCGGGCCACTTGATCTTCAAGAGAGAGGGAGGGAGCAGCGTGAGGGAGTGGGAGAAAGGGGACAGGGAAGTGACAAGGGTTGTACAGGAACTGAAGGAAATGGACGGGGTTGGAACGTCAAGGGAGGGCCTTGAAGCCTGTCACCAGCCTCTCCCTCCCCTCCCAACAAATCCCAACAAGCGCAGGGGAAACCAAGTCCTGGAGCCAAAGCCACGGAACGGGACGCAACATTCGGGGCACCTCGAAAGTCGCAAGAGTCAGCATAACGTACCGATGTGGGGAGCTGTCGCTGCCCCCTCTGCTGCTGCTGCTGCGAGCTCTCTCCGTTCACACTCGTCACGGCAGACCCACTACTGCTGCTCTCTACCTCTGCCACAGAATTTGCCCTCCCCCCAACGCCCTTAACCCCCACCTGCGCGCCAAACCCTTCCCCAACACCACCCCCACTCACAACCCCACTACTGCTACTGCTGCTGCCACTATGGCCCCCTGATCCTAACACCCCCCCTGCCGCCCCTGCGCTCGCTCCCTTTCCCCCTCCCCCACCTCCTCCCCCACTGCTTGTGCTGCTTGCGCCCCGCCGCCCCCCCCCACCCCCATTAACCCCGTATCCGCTGCCGTAGCTGCTGCTCTGAACAGCAGCGTCGGAGCCCCCCGCCCCCCCGTGCCCCTGCTCTAGCCTCTGCGCCACTGACAGTTCCTGGAAGGCGGAATCCGCGGGGTCTCTCCGCCCCCCTGACGCGCCACCCGCGCCCCCGCCTCCCCCGCGTTTCCCCTCGCGGGGGGCCGGGGCGGAAGGGGGGGTTGACGCGGGGAGGGATGGCGGAGGGGTGCAGGCGGAAGGGGCGAGCGGGGGAGTGGTGGCGGACGGGAGGGGGACTGGAAGAGTGGGCAGGGAGGTTGCAGTGTCGTCTGCTAGTGTGCGTTGAGAGCAGCGGGCAGAGAAGGGCAGCAACACGCGCAGATTTGCACACACGCACACACACATTCACACACGCGCACACAGACATGCACACACGCGCACACAGACATGCACACACACACACACACACACACACACACATTCACACACGCGCACACAGACATGCACACACGCGTACACAGACATGCACACACACACACACACACACACACACACATTCACACACGCGCACACAGACATGCACACACGCGCACACAGACATGCACACACACACACACACGCACACACACACACGCACACACACACGCGCGCGCACACACACACACACACACACACACACATGCACACACACACACACACACACACACACATGCACACACACACATGCACACACACGCGCGCACACTCGCACACACACACACGCGCACACACTCATTCACATGCGAACACACACATGCACACGCGAACACACACATGCACACACGCGCACACACCCACACGCACACAACCACACACACACAAACAGACACACACAGAGAAGAAACGCGGTGACGTCATCGTTGAGAGAGTGGGGCAGTGAGCAGGAATTCCTGCCAAAATCCAGCCAGCATGCAGGCCAGATAGCTTGTCACCCCTCAGCACTCCTCAGCACCCCCCCCCCCGCACTCCTCAGCACCCCCCCGCACTCCCCACCACTCCTCACCACTCCTCACCACCACTCCCCACCACTCTTCACCACTGCTCACTCACCTGTGCCAAAGAGGTGCCCAGCGTCTGTATCGCCCTGGGAGGGCGCGCGTTGCTGGCAGCACTCGACCATGATATCCAGCAGCAGATCCACTAACCTCACCACTCCCCAGCACTCATAACCGCTCACTCACCTGTGCCAAAGAGGCGCCCAGCGTCTGTATCGCTCTGGGAGGGCGCGCGTTGCTGGCAGCACTCGACCATGATATCCAGCAGCAGATCCACTATCGCCTGCTGCAGGACCTTCACCCCCATCAGCAGATTCACCAGCGACGGATGCTCCCCTTCCCCCTGCCCCTGCCCTTGCCCCTGCCCCTGCGCGCCCCCTTGCGCCTGCCCCTGCGCTCCACCCTGCTCTTGCCCCCCTCTCCCCTGGTTCTGCCCCCGCTGCTGCCCGCCCCTGCCCCCCTTCCCGTACCCGCCTCTTCCCCCCGCGCCAGACGCGCCAGCAGCGGCGGAAGAGGAGGCGGAGGCGGAGGCGGAGGCGGAGGCGGAGGGGGGCTGCGCGGGGGGGAGGAAGAGGCGCTTGATCTTAGTAGGGTCGTCCAGGTAGGTGCGCAGGCCGCCCAGGAAGGTGGCCACTGCGCCCGCATCCATGAGCAGCTTCTCCCGCAGAGTCACCTGCAGCTGCGTGGGGTCGAGCAGCAACGGGGAGCTGTCCCCGTAGCTGAGATGGAACCCCGCACGCACCAGCAGCGAGCGGAAAATGTCCTCCTCGTCCCCCATCAACCCCCCTGCCGCCCCCGCCGCTGCCCCTCCTGTCACAGCCCCAGCCGACCCCCCTCCACCACCACCACCAGAAGCAGCGGCAGACGCAGCAGCAGAGGCAGCAGCAGAGGCCGCCACAGCGGCAGCAGACCCGGCGGAGGAGGGCGGGGCAAGGGAGGAGGATGAGGAGGAGGGCATGGCCCCCAGTCCCCCAGCACCCCCGGGGCCTCCTGGTCCTCCCAACCCAACCTCCCCGTCGTCACTGTCTAGCAGCTCTTCCCCGTCTGTGCTTAGCCCGTCCCCATCCTCGTCCTCCTCCTCGTCCTCCTCCTCCTCCTCCTCCTCCTCCTCGTCTGACATCATCACCTGCCCAGGCACGCCCTGTGCGTGGGCGAGGGTGGGGAAACGAAAGAACCAAGGCGAGACATTTTGAAGGAAAAAACAGTCTTATCCACGTACCTCCTCCCCTGCTCCCGTTCGGATTGGACTCAATACGCCATGGAACCCTGACAAAACCCTCTACCGCACACACTGTAGGCGTCGTCGTGTGATGTGCCAGCAAGGTGATTCCGACTCCACTCACAACTCAGTTCAGATCAACCTAACCCCGCAAGCATAACCCCCATATCCCACAACTGCATACCCCAACCCTCCTCCCCGCAACCACGTACCTCACACCCTCTCTCACCTGAAAGTCCGAGAATTCGGGGCAGCAGTCCAGGAAATCACACACGAACACCATGAAATCGCGCAACACTGCCCCCTGCCCCACTGGCCCCCTGCCCCCTGCCAGCCCCACTGCCCCCTGCCAGCCCCACTGCCCCCTGCCAGCCCCACTGCCCCCTGCCAGCCCCACCGCCCCCTGCCCTACACCCCCAACCTCCACGCCCTCTCACCTCGAGATCCGAGAACTCGAACCAGGGGCAGCAGTCGAGGATGTCGCACACAAACACGACCGTATCCCGCACTAGAAACCCCCCCTCCGGATCCAGCAGCTCCGCGACCTTCATGAGCTGCAGCACGCTGTTGTTCCACGTGCGCGTGCACACGCTCGCCTCCTTCCATACGCTCGCCTCGGCGGCCTTCTGGTTGACGATGCCGATCTTGTACCGCACCCAGAAGTTCTTGTCCATGTCCGTCGCCGCCATTGTGGTTGCTGTGGACGGGCCCGCGCCCGCCATCGCCTGATCGCTCTCCAGGTAGATGCACAGCGTGTCAAACGACTCGTACACGCCTGGGGGGGAGGGGAATGGGGATTGCGGGTGAGAGCGGTTGGGTTTTTGGATTGTAAAGGCGAAGCCTAGGGACTATACGACATATGCCCGCCATGGCCTGGTCGCACTAGAGGTAAACACAGAGCTTATCGAACAACTCGTACACGCTTGATAAAAGGGATGGGGGGAGTGTGGCGCATCGATGGTGGCGCATGGTGCGCATGAAACCCTAACTGCTTGCTTAGAGAGCAAGGCGCAACGAACGCGAGCCAGTGGGAGGGCGCGGGAAAAACAGAGGGCGGAGACAGGGCGCGGGGAGTGGGGAGCGGGGGGGTGAAGAAAACACTGAGCCGGCGAGAGCAAGTAGCACAGACCGGGAAAGGCGGGAAAGGGAGGAGGGAAGGGAGGGGAGGGAAAGCGACAAAACAAGCGCGGATTGCACAGGAAAGAAGCGCTACGAGTCAGAGGGCGAGTGACTGTGAGCGAGCATGAGGTGCGTGCGCTCACCAATGCGGAGGTCGCAGCCGCCCGCGGAGAAGAACTTGCTGAAGATCTTGCGCGTCTCCATGATCTCCTTAAACGCCAGGAAATTCTCCACCTTCCACGTGAACACGCCGCGCTTTGCAATCTTATTCGCGCTCGTCACGTCCATCGCGCCCCCCGCGATCAGCTGCGCCGTCCCCGCGCCCCCTATCCCCACCAGCCCCGCGGGGGACGCTGCCCCCTCGTCCGTATACTCGAACAGAAACGACGACTCCTTCAGTATAAGCACCTCCGCGGAGAACACCACAGTATCCGATACAAGGAACCCCGAGTCTAGATCAAAGAGGGACGTGAGAGTGACGAACTCGCGCCAGCCCCAGTCTTTGGCGGCCTTGCTGTAGCGGTTCTGCGACTCCTTGGCGACGCAGCGATCCTCCTGTCGCTGGTTGACGACCGACAGGCGATGGCTCACGAAGCAGCTCCAGTCGGCTGCTGGCACGCGCGAGTCCGTGACCTCCAGGAACATGGACAGGTGGCACGGCGGCTGGGATTGACCTGGTCAGGGGCATACGCGAGGGAATAGCGGGGAAATATGGGGGGGAATAAGGAGGGATCAGGTGGTACGCCCGAGTCCGTGACTTCGAGGATCATGGACAGGTGGCACGGCGGCTGCGACTGGCCTGCGCGGGTGCGGTGGGCGACATGCGGGGGGAGGGGAAATAGGGGGAAATGGGGAGATGACGAGGGGTAAGGGAACGGCGGGTAGGGCAGAGGGAACATGGACAGGTGCCACGGCAGTTGCGTCTGGTCTGCGCAGGCGAAATTCGGTGCAAGGCGGACGGGGAACCGGGGGAAGCGAACAGAAGCGGCGGGCCACGCAGAGAAAGGCGGCTGGTGAAACGGGATAAAAGTGCGAGAAAACGGCGGAAGAGACGGCGCGACGAACGAAAAATTGGGAAGGGGGGAAATGTACGCAAACGCGGAGAACGGCAAACCTAAATTCGGCACAGGAGACTTCACTCCACGAAACCCTAGTACGACTAGTGTATACCTCACAGCTAGCGCGCACACCGCAGCACAAACGTACCTCGCGGGTAAACGATGAGGCGGCAGTCGCGGCCGCCGACCTGGAAGCGCTTGCTCTTGATGCACAGCCCCGTGATCTTGCGCTTCTTCAGCAGGTCCTTGAGCCGCGTGAAGTTATCGATCCGCCACACGAACTTCCCGAAATACCCGTCGCCCTTCTTCACGTTGCTGCCGCGCCCGCCCGGCAGCGACGGGTTCTTGGAAAACGTGCTCGACTCCTTGATGACGTGGAACGACGCGCTGAACACCGCCGTGTCGTCCACGAGATACCCGGCCGTCGCGGATACGAAATCCGCCATGCGCATGTAGTCGTTCCACCCCAGACTCGTGTTATCCCCGCTCTTGTTGTCCGCTGCGAATCGGCCGTACGAGTCCCTGTGCACGTGGTTCGATCCTGGCCGTTGGTTCAGCACCGACATGCGGAACAGGCACCAGCAGCTGCGCTCCGGGCCGGATGACTTATCGACGTCTTTACTCTCGAGGCACATGGAGAGGTAATCGACGTTGTTGACGGACGACTGGTAGACGCTCAGCCGGAGGTTGCAATCCCCGGCGGGAAACACGGGACTCATGATCTTCTGCGTCTTAATCATCTCCTTAAACAGCGAGAAGTTGTGAACTTTCCACGAGAATTTCCCGCTAACAACCTCCCCGGTAGCGGGAGTAATCGACGACGCAAGCACCTCGTTGTCGCGCGAAAACGACACGGACTCGTTAAGAATGAGAATCTCCGCCGTTATAAGCACCGCGTCGGTCATCAGAAACCCCGCGCGGGAATCCAGCACGACCGACGACGGCGTGAAGTCGCACCACCCGTGCGACTTCTTCTTCCCCGAGAACCGGTGCCATGAATCCCGCTGCACCGTCTTGCTGTCGTCCTTCACGTTCACCACGCAAAGCCGGTAGCTCGCGAAGCAATCCCACTTGCTACTAGCCGTCCCGCGAGGGTCCGTGAGCTGCAGATAAATCGATATATACCCCGGCAGAGCCTGCGAATCGCCTTTCGGGTATACCAGCAGCCGGCAGTCGAACCCGCCTACTTCGAAATACTTGCTCCAAAGCGCGCGCGCCTTGACCTTGCCGAACTGTGCGATGGTCCATTTGCAGATGGCCGCGTGGTCGCCTTTCCGCTCTACGACCACGGATTCCTGGCCGGCCTCCTTGGGATCATCTATGCTCTCGTTGCCTCGCAGCTGGACCTTGTCGCTGCGAGATCCGGGCAATGTGCCGTCTGAGTTGATCTGACACGCCGTCGCTCCTGATTCCTCCGCTTTCCTCATGATGCCTGCCTAAGGAGAATCGCCTGACTAGGTTTACGGATGCTTAGGAGAAATACCTAAAAAGAAGGAAACATTACGGATGGCTTTATTGAATAGTGAGCCTTCTGCCGTCGGACCTTGCTACACGGAAACCTAATTTTGAGTAAGAAGCAACAAAAATGGCTATCTGAAAGGTCAAACAGGAAAGACGCCAACGAAGCTGAAGCTTCTTAAAAAACGAAAAGCCTCGAAGCTAAGAAACCACAAAAGCTCACTATCCCGCAGCTAAGGATACGGCGTAAGATCTGCCGCGACAACTAATCTACTCCCTGAAAGCGAAAATCACTCTCCTTATTCCAGATCTGCTAAACGAGAGCGTGAGGACGAGGAAGAAAAAGTTCAAAGTAAACCAGAAACCCTAACTTGGCTCTCTCAGATGGCGTTCTACGCAACCACTCAAAGGGTGAGTGCCGTGCCACGTATTCCTCCCCCTCGGGATTCCCTGCAAACGGATCATCCCCTCATCCGTCTGTCCACCTCTACCCGCCAGATCCCGCTGGGGCAGGCAGGAGGGAACAGAGTCCCCGTCGGCGCTCGGTTTATCATCTGTCAGGGGGTCGCCGGTTCGTAAACGAAAACCTTCGCGAAAAACTTGAAGGTCAGAACGAGCCTTCGCGGTAGCCGTCACTTCGCCATGGAATGTTCCGCTGTTACACCAGCAATTTGAAGCATATCCTATGCCTATCGGTTTTCTCTAAATGTTATTTCTAGAACAACAAATTCGTGCAGAGCAGAAAAACATTGGTACCGTACAGGACAACCCTAAACCCATGAAACGTATCCTTTTTTGTGGTCGGTGAGATCTGTATCTGGTCTCACCATAGTACATGCTTGTCCCACAAATTACTTCTTTCGTTCGTTGCAGCACGGAGCGCACCTGAACGTTATGTGCGCTACCCGGTCTTCCTTTCCTTTTCTCACGCCTTCGCCTTTTCCTAGCCTAGCCTGCTCTAGCGTAGATTTCACGTTCCCAAGGCCACCAGCGATCGATATAATCACATCCGAGAAAACCTCGTGATGTGGTCGTCGAGACACCCGCACGCGCCGTGGCCGCGGCCGAGCGTTGGCCGCTTCTGCTACATCATGGTGGCGATCGCAGCGGCCATCGTGATGGTCTACCATCACAACCAGATGCAACAAGAGATCGACATCAATCGACGGTCCAGGTTCGCCGATCACACCTGCTCTGCCCTTCCCCCTCCCTCCCCTGCTCGCCTCTTCAGTATAAGTCTGATTCTTTCAGCAGGCGTTGGCCTCTTCGTCCTCGCTCACGTCCTCATTCTCTACCGTTCGCGCGTGTCATCCATGTGTCATGCGCGTGTCACGTTTGGATCATGCGTGTGCGCCACGTGGCAGGAATCAGATGGAGCGGCTGTACGATGCGATGCGGCGGCAGGAGGGCGAGTGGAAGGCCAAGGCGGAGGACGAGCGGCTGCGACTCGCGGAAGTCATGGACGCGTGCTCCAAGGTCTGATTTGTTACTGTGATGCAACCGAGACAGAACAGCCAGTTGCGTTCCCTCCTGGTCCGCAGCCCGACAACTAGAGCCTCACACTCTCCTCGCCTGCTCCCTCTCTCTCCCTCCTGTTCCACAGGTGCGGCAGCAGCTAGCAGCAGAACAGCAGGTCAGCCAGCAGCAGGAGCAGCAGATACGATCTCTGCAAGAGGTGTGTGAGCGAAGGAGCTCTCGGGAGGGATGGAGGTAGTGAGGGAGGGAGAAGATGAGTTCTGTATGTGCACGTGTCCACGTCAGCATGTGTGCATGTCCACGTCAGCATGAATATGCGTCCACTGTGTTGTACCTTCCTTGGCTCCTTCCAGCAATGAATTCTCAAGCCTGCGTTGTGCTTTCTTGCATGTGCCTGTACTGGGTGTGACTGCGTGATTGTAACAGGAGCTGCGGGCAGCAAGAGGAGTGCCCCATGACAACACGCCTAAGAAGCCCCCAGAAGGAGGCAATCCTTGACTTGGCTCTTGCCCAGCCCGCACTGGCAGGCAGGCAGTGTCACCCTTGCCATCTTGCCCTGCCTGGAATGGGCAGTGCATGTGTTTCACACACCTGGAATGGATTCAGCACCTGGATTGGGCGGCACGCACAGGGAGCAGCACTGGGTGGATACTGAGTGTGGGATGGGGATGGCAAACCGCACGCGCGGACAGAGACTCGCACACACCCACCTCACGCACCCAACGTCAAGTGCTTCCAGGATGTGCTCTCCGCTCCTCCTGCTTCGCCTCTGCACAGCTCAACCCCGCCCACATGCACTGCACCCAGTGGCGACATAAGCCCGCATCTCAACGTGCGACGGGGTCAGCATCAGCTGAGCTCTCGCGTGTTGTGGACTCAGCCCAGGGGGAGAGTGAGAGCTCAGCTGACCCCGAGCTTAGCAGCCCTCGGGCCAGCTGCGGGAGAGGGAGAGTGAGGCGGTTGCCAGCATGTCAGCTGGGGCTTTTTGGAAGGCCTCTCGACACCTCACAATGTTATGCGAGCGAGGGGCTGTCGAAGGCGGTCAGCTGGTGAGGTAGCAGATGTAAGGCGTGAAGGCTGAGCGCCTGCTTTATCTCTTCCGGTTTCCAGGCATTCCAAGTCGCTGGCAGACATTTCAGCACGACCAGCAGCCTTCACAGCTCCAGCAGCAGCAGAAGCAGCAGCAGCTGTGTCCTCGACCTCCTTTTTGCTGTGAGCTGAATTGATTGATGCTGTATCAGCAATGAAGGGAGACCTCCCAGCTAGGCTACCACTGTGACATCTGTCATCCTGGTTTGACAGAGTGCCGACTGCTTCGGGATTTGCCACTCCGAACCAACTTCTTCCAGTGCTTCACTGCTGCCCTGATCATGCTGAGAGGGATGCACTGGGACATGTGCTTTAAGATGTACGGTATCTCTAGTTGAGCTTCTTGCGTGTTGGTGTTTCTTCATGTCGATTTTGAACTGCTTGCAGTTGTTGGAAGGTAATGGTGGAAGCATGCCTACTATTGAGAGCCTATCAGACATTTCCAGCCTGCAAATTATGAATGAATTTAGCACTCTTCACAGATGGTGCCTTAGCAGGTTAAAATTATATAGAGAAGATTGTGTGAACAGCTCAGAGCAGGAAGCGAGCAAGCACGCACTCACAGCATAGCCACACTGGAATCAAGGCAGCAGAGCACGATGCATGGAGCGTGTACGGCGGCGGGAGGATGGATGCAGCACCCCCAGCACCTGCAGCTCCGATGCTGCTGCCAGGAACCGAGCCCTGGTGGGGTTGGCGGGTAGAGGATCAAAGGAAAACAAAGGCCTTCATGAGAACGTGGAGGAGGTGCCAAGGAATGACGATGGAAGGACGGTGCAAGAACGAGGGGAATGACATGGCCAGATTCAAACATAAAAACGTGGTTAGGGAAAGAACGAGACATGAGTTGACTTTTGAGTCGACTCAAAAGATTCGAACATGAAAAACGTGGTTAGGGAAAGAACAAGACATGAGCAACCGAAGCATTTTTGGCTGCATGTGCATGAGCAAGCATGGACGCAACTGGATTTGGTCGTCTGAGAGAGATGCTGTGGTGGCACCATCATGCTTCGTCTCCTGCTGCTCCTCCCCACCACTGCCACCCTTCCTCTTCCTCCCCCTCCTCCCTCCCGTCTTCTCACCACCCTTCACTGCCTCTCTCCCATCTACCGTCCTCCCTTTCCTCCCACGCCCCCGGCTCCTCTTTCCAACAGCAGCAACAGCTTCAGCTACACCAGTAGCAGCAGCACCAACAGCTTCACCCACAGCAACACATCCAGCCGCACTAGGTGCCGCCACAGCAGCAGGGGGTGCACAGGCAGCACGAGTGGCAGCAGCGAAGGCAGAGAGGAGGTCACGGGAGTCAGCAGAAGCACCGGGCATGGCGCACACAAGAGAGTACAGCCGACCCGTGTCATGCGCTGTCGATGCTGCTGGTATCCCATCTCCTTGAGACGACCTTTCAGCCACTCCCAAGCTTTGATGTGCATGTGAGTTGGATGACAATGAAGCTGGGTTTGTCCCCTTGTGACCTGATTGTTTGGTGAGGCTCGCAGTGTCAAGGACATGCGAGGGCGCTGGCACGATATGCTTTTGTGGCTTCTGCAGTGGCCGTCTCGTGAGACTGAGAATATCCAGTGCTATTGATGGTGCTGGGTCCAGCTGCACTTGAGATTGCTGCCGCTGCTTCTGCTGCCATTCCTCCTCCTCCTCCTCCTCCTCCTGCTGCTGCTGCTGCTCCTGCTGCTGGGTGAGGTCAGAGCGAAGGGAGGAGAGCACAGCGGCCCCAGCAGGGTAGACTGCGAGGGAGGCTGGGGCTTCAACGATGAATGGCTGCAGATGGGGGTGAGAAGACCAGTCTGCTGCACAGAGGCTGGAAGGGGACGGGTCAGTGAGAGGCGGGAAAAGATAGGGGAGAGAGGAGGGGAGAGAGAGAGAGGAAAAGAAAGAGTGAGGCGGGGGCTTTGACGATGAACGGGTGCAGGTGCGGGTGAGAGGACCAGTCTGCTGCACAGAGGCTGGAGCGGGAGAGAGGGGGGAAGAGAGAGGGGGGAAGAGAGAGGGGGGAAGAGAGAGGGGGGAAGAGAGAGGGGGGAAGAGAGAGGGGGGAAGAGAGAGAGGGGGAAGAGAGAGGGGGGAAGAGAGAGGGGGGAGGGGGGAGAGAGAGAGAGGGAAAGGAGAACTCAAGCTCAGACAACAAACCTTTTAATTGTATTACTAACACCAAAACGTTTTGGTGTTAGTAATACTATCAAAAGCAGCACTCCAATTCTCTGGCAATTGTCGATTCAATCTCCCCAATGCTCACCGCACGAGAGACGCTAGCAGAGCTTGCAGCTTCCCCGCTACATGCGGCAGAAGCAGGTCACACAGCGGCCTGGGGGCAGCAGGAGGGGCTGCTCCAGGCTGCTGGAAAGGACGGGGCGCTGCTGGGTGGCTTGATGCTGCTGATGGCGGTGGTGACGCTGCCGATTGGAGCAACATGGCCCTGAAATGCAGTGGGTTGTGTTGTGTTGGGTTGGGTTGGGTTGAGTTTGGTTGGGTTGGGATGGGTTGAGTTTGGTTGGGTTCGGTTGGGGGTTATTGTAGAAAGCCAAGAAGCACAGTGGACGGGCATGCAAACAGTGAAGGCGTGGGTCTATGCAGAATCACTGTGTCATAACCTTACCACACTGTCAAGCCTACGCTACACACTTGCACTCCTCCATACCGCTCTTCATCCCATTCCACCCACCTTCTCCGCATCACAGCGCTCGACCCCCTTTGAGCCATGCTCGCAGCACCCGCCCCTGCCGCCCCTCCTTTCACGCCTTTCCCACCCAAACCGTCCGCTCCTTTCACCCCACCTCCTCCTGTCGACCCTTTCCCATCTAACCCTCCCTTAGCCGAATTGCCAGGTCTGGGGTTTGCACGATCCACTCCACTCCCCCTCTCCACCTCATTCTTGTCCCTCGGATCCACTCCTTTCCGCTTTTCTGCTGCTGCTGCCGCTGCTGCTGCTCTTTCTGCTTTGGCTCGCCGCGCAGCTGCTTCCACAGAGGCTTGGATCTGCCGAACCAGACGGAGCGGCTGTGCCGAACCAAAAATGAGACAGGAACAAGGATTGGCACAGAGGACGAGTGGATGGACAAAGGTCTGATTCCTGTGGCAATAGATAGACGCAACAGTTGGCTTGCTGAACAGAGATTAAGCTTAACAGAAACCACAGAACTAGGAAGGAGCGTAGAATCACCCAACAGACTCACCCCACGCACTCACCTCAGGCAGTTTGGCACAGGTACGTTCCAGCCAGCCCAGCACTGCCACTGCTCAAGTCTCAGAAACCCAACCAGCCCTAGAAACGTACTAGATAAACTAACTCCCGAGAACTACCCCCACCCCACCCACTCACCTCATGCACTTTGGCACAGGTACATTCCAGCCAGCCCAGCATCTTCACTGCCCCAGCCCGGCCTCCTGCACCCAGCCTAGCCTAGAAGTGCACCGGATAACACCAGAGGCTACCCCTACAAACACATCCAACAGACTCACCTCAGGCAGCTTGGCACAGGCAATCTCCAGCCAGCCCAGCATCCTCTCTGCTCCGGCCTCCCCTCCCGCCTCCCACGCCCACTCTCCATCCCCTCCCCTCGCCTTGCCCTGCTCTCCCTCCCCTCTCACTCCTTCCTTTCCTTCTCCCCTCCCTGCAGTTTGATGAGGTCGTTTTTGAGTTTGAGACGTCTCAAAAACAACCTCATCACACGTGGCCCCCCTCACTCCCTCCTTTCCTTCTCCCCTCCCTGCAGTTTGATGAGGTTGTTTTTGAGTTTGAGACGACTCAAAAACAACCTCATCACACGTGGCCCCCCTCGCTCCCTCCTTTCCTTCTCCCCTCCCTGCAGTTTCTCGCCCGCTTACAACCTCCTCCACCTCACCATCCCCTCCTTCCTCTCTTGTCTCAGCTACCTCCCCTTCCTCTCCTGCACCCCCTGCCTCTCCTGTCATTTTCCGCAGCCTTTCAGGATGCATGTTGCTTCTCTCCTTCCCCGTGTGCCTCCTCTCCGCCTCTTCCAACTCTTGCCTGGCAGGCGCAGGGAGGAGAGGAGGGCAGAAAAGCAGGGCGCGTGAGACAGTGAGGAGGGGATGGTGCGTGAGAAGAAAGAGTGCCGAACGAGCAGCTGTAGAGAGGAC